ACGAGTCTTGTTGATGTGAAACTACTAGGAGTTATTTTAGAAATAAAAAGAGAAGAGATTAAAGTGTTGCTCGTTATAAATTTAAAGCTAAGCAACATAAATTTTGAGTTAAGGCATTTTGAAACTTTTAAACTTATCTTAGGTTCAAGAAGCACAATGAAATTAACGAAACCACATTCCATTCAAAAATTCAAGGAAGTAAAATGCAAAGTACCAGTTAACAAAAACCCAACGTTAACAACAAAAATTTCACTCGGAGGCCTCCTCACCAAATATTAGGTATAGGGGCTTTCTTTTAAAGCGGGAGGAAAGAGAAAGATCCAAGCGATTGAAGGATATTACACTAGGGAAGCGAACACTGTGGAAATTTTGTATCCAACGGATTGCATATTTTTATAATCGGGCACGGCATTAAGAATACGATATATTACCCCGGGGGTAAAATACCATTTTCTATGGTTCAATAATAAAATTATACAATATATTTAACAGAGATTCCCCCACTCGATGTTTGTCGAGCGGGTTATGTATTTTCTGGGGTACAGAACATCCCATAGGGCCAAGCCCCTATGGTTAATTACATCCCAAATTTATTGGGAACTTTGATTAAACTAGTGGTTTTGCTTTCTTTAGAAGTTCATTTATAAATGTTGGCTAAAATTTGATTTTGTTGTGTTTTGAAATCCATGAAAGTCTTGATTAAAGGTTTTTGGCCTTTAGGAATTTCAAGGAGGAGATTCGATCCCAACTTAGAATCAGATTTTGGAGTAGAAGTCCAAAAAGGTGAAGTAGGAAGCCACTGATTCTGAGGAAACTCAGAGGTGCTCGGACTATCCTATGTTGGGCTTACATTTTAGCAACCTAATTTTAGTTTAAGTTTGATATTTTATTAGAAAATTGGGCTTACATACCAACAACACTGTTGGAGGAATTGCCGCAAAGGATGAGGCTTATAGGTGATTTGAAATCAACCCTTGGCTCGACCCTAAGACTAAGTGAAGAACTTACCGAGAGGTAGTGCCTCGAACCTAGAGTCTAACGAGTGCAAAAGAGGGACTTACAAGCCTACCACCTCACAAAGAGGCATAACCCGCCGACCTCTGGATTTTATTGTTCCCGCCTGAAGGGACACAGCTAACTCCTCCTAATCCGCTTTTAAAGACCATGTTTCCGGTCCTTGATTGCCAAATGTAGTGTAG